ATGATACCACACATGTATAGGTGGGTCGGGTTCTCTGGGGGCTAAAATACCTTATTTGGAGGGTGCGCATTCCTGTTTTCCAATTTGGAATTTTCACAGCTGGTCATCATGCACCCATGTCCTATTTGGGACATTTTTGAAGCCGGCCAATCTAATATACCACGATCAAACCATATATTTTTGAAACGTAGACACACTAGGGTATTTCAAATTGTGGTATTTTAACACTTTCCATGCACTAATTCTACCACCAGTCTTTGTCAAACTTTTGGGTAGTAATTTATTTGTTATTTTCCACACACATTCTACTTTAGGCATGGATTCTCAGCTCCTGCTAGATGTTACTGCCAAAGAACACCCCAATATGTGTTCAGCAACATCTTCTGAATACAGTGATACCAACTATGTATAGGTGTATCGGGATCTCTGGGGGCTTAAAGAGCTTATTTGGAGGGTGCGCATTACAGTTTTCCAACTTGGAATTTTCACAGTTAGTCATCATGCACCCCTGTCCCATTTGGGACATTTTTGAAGCCGGACAATGTAATTTACCCCCATCAAACCATATATTTTTGAAAAGTAGACACCCTAAGGTATTTCAAATGGTGGTATTTTAACACTATCCATGCACTAATTCTACCACCAGTCTTTGTCAAACTTTTGGGTAGTAATTTTTCTGTTATTTTTCTCTCACATTGTACACTGCAGGGCACCACGTGGAGCAACCCGTGGAGCTTCCAGCGCTCAAATTAGTAGCGGACCTGTCAGATACGTCCGTGGTCCTCAAGGACCATTTTATGTCGGATGTACCTGATACGTCCCCGGTCAGGAAGGGGTTAAAGAAAAGAGCAAGAGAACAGGTTTGTGAGATAGAAGTTACTCTGGAAGGTCATAAGCTTTCCTAAAGAAATAGGTTTGATTGAAGACCAGGGGAGAGTTATTATTAAGTAGGGGAGATTTATTATGGCTTCCTCCAGCAATGGAATATTGGGGACCTGATGCGCATGCACTGAGACTGCATCCAATGCTTCTCATAGGAAATTATTAAATGCAATGAAGACAGCCACTATAGGTGTGTTTACCCTTCAATGTAAATATTGCCCTCTTCTGCGAAACGGCAACGTTTTACTTTGAAGGGTTAAACATACAGGATCACTGCATCCTGAGATTAAGTGGTTTGGGTGACTTTATTGGTCCTTTAATGAGTGGTAACAATTAAACAAAAAGCAGCACAATTAATTGGACTTCAGCATTGTGTTACAAGGTAAAAACAAGCGAGCAAGAAATAAATGTTACCTGTACATCATCCTTAATCCTTAATTATTACCTAATTAATGAAGCTCGTAGCATTTGAGTAATTTAAAACCTTGATGTGGTTGTGGATGCTTGTATTATGTGGCTGTACAAAGGTATCGTGAATTATTTAAGTATTCAATAAGGTTGGTATTAGAGTGTTTTTAACTGTTTTCATTCCTGCTTGTACTTTATGGATGAATACTGTAACCCTTGCTCACTAGCTACAGGAGGTGAATATGGATCGTAGGTACTTTTCACTTCTTTTAATCTGCAGCTTTTTGCAATATTTTCAGTACTTGTCATCAATTCCATTTTTATTATTTTAGAAAATGGTGGAGTAGAATTTTGCTAATGGTGTTTATTTACTTCACTGAAACTGAACTGCATGCTTTAGGCCAAATTTTGGAGAAAAAAAAAACATGACTACAATTTTTTACCATATCAGCCGTTTTGCCTATATTTTTAAATTTAGATTTATTTTCACCACAATTCTCTTTTATACAGCCAAACATTTGTGAATGAATCCGGCTGTGTGTTTTTTGTGCAGCTTTAAATTATTTTGTATAATATAGACTAGAGATTCACCAATGACATTGAGGATCGTAGGGGTTAATGATATGCAATTCTTTGTTCCTCTGTGCTGGACTACATTTCCCACAATCCTCTAACAGCTAGCTTCTACCAGAGAATTCGTTTAAAAACTGTAATCCAGCAATTTTAGTAAACACTAATCTGAACAATAAAAAACAAAAACCTTTTAAAAAATTAAGTATTTTAAGACTATTCCATTCTATAAACAAGTCTGCCAATAATATAGAGTAAAATAATGTTTTTTGTTTTTTTTTAAAGTCTATGATCAGGTTTTTTTATTGAGCAAACATTCTTGGAACAATAATCTTTCAGGCACATTAATACCAGGAATTACTGCTATGCAGTAAATATATATTTAGCACTGTGTGTGAACAAACATGCACAATAAAAGGACACAATTGATGAGGACCTTTGTACTGTTGTAGATGAGGAAAGGTTAATTTAAAACAAACTGTTAGCTAGTCCACACCTGCTTCTAATAATCTCATCTCCTGTGCTACCATTGATGTATCCATGTGTCATGTGAGCACAGCCCAGAATCCTAGCCAATCCCAGGGTCTAAGCACCCAAGCACATTCAGCCTATAACACTGTGAGCATCCTTGCATCCCACAAGCAGGCTGCAAGCATCCTTTCCTTTTAATGAAGGGACCCTTCCAAAGACAAGTGGCCCCCCCAGCCCTTGCTTTTCCTAATAGCTTGCCTTCAATGCTTCAAGGTAAGAACTAAATGCACTCTCTCATTCATGCAATTAATGTAACAGTAACAAAGGCTTTATATATATATATCTACCTCCCCCTACTCCTTGCTTCCATCTGCTAGCCTGTAGTTAATCATTGAACTGCAGAGGCCCTGTACATGTTGCTCTGGGTAATATCTCAACAGGAAGGATGCAGAAAACTGGGGGAAAAAAGGTATGATTTAATAAATCCAGAAAAAGCTGGGATCTGTGTGTTGTGTCTGAGCAAAGGGAGCTATTAATTAACCCATTATTGGTTCTGTAGCTGTCTCTGGTTCTGAAATGTGACCCAGCAGTGTGGGATTGAGAGCAGGGCTTGACATGAACCATCCTTATGTCTGTCTTCAAGAGGTGATTATCTGATATAGTCAGACCTTGGCCTGCTATCTATCCTGCTCTGCTTTGTAATACAATCTGAATGGAGATTAACCTTTTGGATATTTGATATTAATGTTGAGCATTGTATGTGGATTAAACTTAATTAAAAAGTCCTTTGAGTGTCGCATCCATTAACCAGGCATTATATATATTTATATATATATATATATATATATATACAGAAACTTTGTTAACTAGACTTGGGCATTTGTTTGTTCTGTTTCTCTTCTGGGTTTTTTAATCCCCGGTAAACATTGTTCAGATGTGTTTTAACATGCATTTTAAAATCCATAATTCACTAGTGGTCATAATTATCTGATTTTAGTTAGGTTCGAAATGCATTTTTTTCCATCAGTGCATTTGAAATTCAGAATCTTAAACCGTATAATATAGGCTTCTACTGTATAACATATATAATTTAAAATTGTGGCAATGATGTGTAATTATATTTTTTATTGCAAGTCTGTTGATGGTTTTGTTGACTAATCAGTGAATTGTGATTTAAAATAACACAATTTTATCACAAATTATTCAAACCAAGAATATAACCAAATCATTTATTTTTTATGTAGAGGATGACTGCATGTAGGGAGGCTGTGTGTGTGAGGAGGTTGCATGGTTGTGTATATGTGTGTGTGTGTGTGTGTGTAGGCTGTGTCTGTATGGAGGTTACATTGTTGTGTGTAAATGGGGAGAGGTTATGTGTTTGAGGGTAAGCAAAGAGGTTACACTATTGTGTGTATGTATGGGGAGGCTATGTTAGTAGGTTGCATTATTGTGTGTGTGTATATGGGGAGGCTGTGTCTATTAGGAGGTTACATTTCTGTGTTTGTGTGTGTGGAGAGGCTGTGTGTGTGAGGAAGTTGAATTGTCTTGTATATGTGTGGACAGGGTGTGTATGTGAGAAGGTGCCTTGTTATGTGTGTGTGAAGAGGTTGCATTGTTGTGCGTGTGTAGGTAGACTGTGTGTTTTGTATGTGTGAGGGTCTCTCTAATGGAGCAGCAACAGAGCTCCCCCTTAGAACCAGGGATACCAGCGATTGTTTAAGCTACTGAACCTTACAATTTACACATATAAACAAAAGAAAAATGATCTAATGAGAGAGAATTTCAGTAGTAAACCATGCAGATTTGGAAAACAATGCCATACATACATACATACATGTAGATCAAATCTATAATGCAATGTAGGGGAAGTCGGAGGAGCCAAAGCAGACACTAAACAGGGAATCTGTATGTAAAAGGGGAATAATGATTGAGATAAGAAGGTAAGAGCAGTAATTCTTCCAGTTAATGACAAGGTTTAAAGCCAGCACATGCATTTTTGAAAGTCGTGTGATACCACAAACAAGGGATTAAATGGCCAGGGACAGAACTGGCAGGTAATTGCGATAAAACAAATTGAAAGTAATGATATCTAATTGAAAACCAACAATAGCTAACAATCAGCATAGACCAATTCCAAGGTCACAAATCTAGGAGAACAAATTGGACAATGCCAATGGCATTAGGGCTTTAGGTTGATAAAGTTGAGGAACCGAAATCTAACAATATGTGGACTGACAAATTCTCTTATCTAGTCTGCTTCTTATGGATGGATTCATAAACTTGTTTACACAGATATATAAGAATTCATTAGTATTCTAATGCTAATGACATCTGCTTTGGTACAGATAGTCTTAGATCATCCTTAGAAGTACATAAACGATAATGTCAAGCTAGAGTTAAATAATTGATATCTGGAAATTATCATTTTTATACGCTGGTTATATTCCCATGATTTCTAATTTATGCTTTGCCAATCTTATCTATATTGTTTTTGCCCTGCAGTGCTACTTTTAGTTTCATAAACCGCAAGACAGTCTTCTCATGTTTATCACGATCGTGTCATTGTTAACAGATGCCTGATAGATTTAAACCATTGATTTCTAAATTGTAATTCATCTTTCCACAGATACTGTAACCCTTAGGAGTGATAGCAATAGTCACATATAAACATGCTGGCACGGAAAGGACTCATTCACGAAGAATATTTGATAACTCGTCTTGCAGAAGATAAGTCTGAACAAATCCAGTACAAATCAAAGGACAGGAAACCACGTTTTGTGTCAAAAAATGGAGCGTGCAATGTTGCCCATAAGAATATTCGTGAGCAAGGACGTTTCCTGCAAGATGTATTTACCACGATGGTGGACCTCAAATGGCACCACAGCTTACTCATTTTCACAATGACATTTATTTGTAGCTGGATGATGTTTGCCATGGCCTGGTGGCTTATTGCTTTTGCCCATGGAGATCTAGACCCCAAGCGCAGCTCTTCGGTGCCTTGTGTAACAAATATCCAGTCTTTTACATCAGCGTTTCTTTTCTCTATTGAGGTTCAAGTAACCATTGGGTTCGGAGGTCGCATGGTGACTGAACAGTGCCCTTTGGCCATAACAATTCTCATCATTCAAAATATATCTGGTTTAATTATCAATGCCGTCATGTTGGGATGTATTTTTATGAAAACTGCTCAAGCCAACCGCAGAGCTGAAACTCTTATCTTCAGTAAAAATGCTGTGATAGCCTGTAGGGATGGCAAATATCGTTTCATGTTCCGCGTGGGAGACCTTAGAAAAAGTATGATCATTAGTGCTTCCATCAAGATTCAGATCGTCAAGAAGACGATGACAGCCGAAGGAGAGATCATTCCTATTTCCCAAGTAGATATTCAGGTGGAGAATCCTATGGGCACAAACTCTATTTTCCTAGTGTCACCCCTTATTATCAGCCACACCATTGATGAAAAAAGCCCTCTGTATAACATTTCAGCATATGATCTCAACAATCAAGAACTGGAAGTTGTGGCAATTCTTGAAGGTGTAGTAGAGACAACAGGCATCACTACCCAAGCAAGGACATCCTACTTGCCTGAAGAAATCCTTTGGGGCCATCGTTTTGTTCCGATTGTTACAGAGGAAGAAGGCAGGTACTCTGTGGACTACTCCAAATTTGGAAAAACAGTGAAGGTGCATGGTCCACTATGCAGTGCTAAAGACCTGTTAGAAGGGAGATACAGGGGCCTCTACACCAGCGGTCAACATTCTAGAATGGGAAAGAAAAGGCGAGGAGAAAACCGAGAACTTATTCCAACTAATAATAATGCTACAGAAACTCCATGCAATGAATCCTTATCTGATTCACAGTGATTGTACAAACTATGATAGCATAATTTATTCACATCAATTTCTTAGCAAGAGGTGGCTTTCTAGATTGGAACAGACAACGTGACTGTAAAGCTGGAATGACAATATACTTAGGTTTCCAGAATGTATTATCACACAAATATATGTTCTCTGCTCTCCAGATGGATATTTTTCTGTCTCGCAGTACATTCCAGGTTACCCCTCATGCTATGTATTCCATAAATGAGTTCAGTAACACCCCAAAATTTAAAGGTACAGTTCTGAGCATTATTTGGCTGTAACTGACATACAGACCTGATTTGAACAGACATAATTCCACATTCCTAACCAAGCCAAATTAAAAATCGTTGTGAAATAGTCAAATGCGGGAGCTGGGAGCTTTTAATGGTTCTCTGTATAGCACTCTTGCATAAGGTGCACCTTTGAATCTCACAATTCTGTCTTCTGACATTAAGGATAAATTGGAACCCGTAGTATCACATTGTTTCCAAGATAACTTTTGTTGAGTTTAGTTCAGCTTATTGTTGACTGCACAAGTTTGATCAGTAATGTGCTGCGGTTTTATTACATTGTTGTTGGAGCTTTTATATGATAGAAAGTCTGATCCTTTTAAATCAGCAATTTAATAAAGTACTTTGATGCTAGGAACCATGCAATATACATCATGGAACAACATGTGGACATGAAGGATTAAAGGTGTTAAATGCTTAAAGATTTAATCAAACACCAGCGTTTTTAAAAAAAAATCCCTGGTTTGAGTTAGAGTAACCCTCCCCAAACTTAAAAATAAATAAATAAATAAACTTACCTCAATTCCAGTACTGAGACCAAGTTCTCCCTGCAGCCTGATCCTCTTCTGATGTCACTCTCCCTTACTGGAGGGTGGGCGTGTAGGACGAGGATATGCTAAAGCGAGGACAAGGGTGGCATGGAGGCGGCCATGCCTTTATTGGATGCCTATCACCAGCATGCTGTGCGTGCTGATGACAGACGTACAATATGCACAGAATTGATATTAGCCAACCCTGGAATTGTTGTATAGTTATACCTACAGCAGCAAAGGGGTTAAACTCTGTATGTACAGCGTTTCATAGCACAACACTGCACATACAGACTCCAGACACCATAAACACTTCAAATCACTGAAGTGGTTATGGTGCTTGGAGTAACCCATTAAAAGATACACTATTAGTAATATAAATATGCATTCCTAACACTATCATTATCGCCCCCCTCCTCCCCCAAGGGTTAAGAAAGCTGTTTAATTTACCATTCATCCTGTGGCGCACTGGTCTCTTTGCCGCTAGTGTCCCGACTCCTTGGCTGAGATAATCAATAAAACTAAAGGCTCACTGCACCAAGACCACTTCATTGGGTGCCTTTGGTGGTCCTATAAGTAGTAATGGCAGTATCTGCTGTCCTAATATTATAGTCCAGGGGTAGGCAACCTTCGGCACTCCAGATGTTGTGGACTACATCCCCTATAATTCTCTGACACCCATAATGCTGGCAAAGCATCATGAGAAGTGTAGTCCAAAACATGTGGAGTGCCGAAGGTTGCCTATCTCTGTTCTAGTCTATATATTTTCTACTGAAATATCATACTTTGTTTTAAAAAATAAATAAATAAATAAGCAAACTGCATAGAAGTGTTGACACTGAATATATAATATATTATACACTGGCAAAAGGTATTTAAGGAAAAATTGTGATGATGGTGAAACTTGATTATTGTCCTTAAGAGATCAACACTATTTTTGGTTTGCAAAGAGTTATCAGATATTATAGGAAGGTTATATAATGATACTGATATTTCGAAAAACAAATGTACAGATTATGTTTAATGCCAGTATAAAATGCTGTTCACTGGAGAATAACCATAAACGTTTAATGGGTTGTGTATTCCAATGGCACCAGGGCCTGGTATCAGATAATGGTATATATGCACAATGGACTGCAATGTAGGCATAGTGTCATAGTGTTACTAAGGGATGTAACTTCTTCTGGGTGGACTCTGCCCAGGTATAAGAATGTGATGTCCAAAAAAAAATCAACTTTCAATTTAAAGGTACCTGCAAGGAAAAATCTGGAACTCAAAGACTTCAAATCTACCCGATTGAAAGTATATTCTTTCTAATTGCATTTGTATGATATTTAATAAAAATAAAAATAAATGAATACAGTGTAAATTGGAAATTACTTAAAATGAGTAAAAACATTACTTTAAAAAACATCTTTACCTTAATCAATAGGCAACAGTTGTGTATGTTCTATTTTCTTTTTGTTGTCAATCTTTGTTTTTATTGAGGCATATGGTAAAACAGTACAGAAAGTAAAGCGTGGAGTTAGTGCACATATTTCACATGGTATGTAAAACATTAAGATAGCAATATCACTGCTGGAACTCCTGCGAATAACAGCCTCCTTTTTACAAGTATCACCGGAGTATTATTATGCATTTTTAAACAGGTAGATACAGCTTGGTTATAGTTAGTAAGGGCAATTGAGCCTGGAATCGCATATATGGTGGGTGTTCTACCCCTGAGATTAAGAGAACATTGCACTAAGTACGGTGAGTCTGACATTAGGTTAGAGATAACAAGCTAGGCCCCGGTCAGAGTACTGTACAGGTTAGTGTAGTAGGCTATTTTGGTGTGCCCAGCTCTCAGGTATCGGAGGGTTAACTGTCCAGGGGACTGGGTAGATTATAGGGTAGGTAGATCTAACATGTCAACCCAGTGGTGTACTAATGGGGGGGCGGGGGGGCGGTCCGCCCCGGGTGCCAGCCGTGTGGGGGGTGCCATGGCCAGCCCCGCCGGCCCCCCCCATGCTGCAGCCGCCCGAGCGCTCTGTAGAGAGCCTCAGGCGGCTGCAGCTTTGCCCGGGCGGTGCGTCCATGAGGGCGGACCGCACCGCCCGGGCGCAGCCTGAGGAGAGGGGCTGACAGGAGGGTCTATATGTATCAATTTATGGTGATGCCCTAAAACCCTCTAAGAGTGTAAGTGTGACATTTCAATGACTTGCCATAAACCAGAGTAATGAGCATTGCAGTAGTTCACAAGAGTGTTCAGCCTACATCACAGGGTGTGATCGTGCTACAATATATGGGAGCTAGTCTAATGGGTATGGAGGTTTGGGCTAGGGGATGTTAGTGTGGCCCCTTAGTCGCGTGTTTTCTGGGGTTTTGGTGGTCTGCTTGCTAGTCTAGCTCGCGGGGTTCCGGCCCAGGTGTGTTGTGTGTGCCTTAGTTCCCCCGATTCACGGGGCGGTATGGGGGGAGGATAAGAAAGTGTCGGTATCAGACGGTCCCGTAGTGGTAAGTGTGTGTAGTGGCTGAGCAAGTGGTTGAGCCTCTGAGGTCGTTTATAAAGTAGCGTCAGGAGCATGTGGAAGCAGTCAGCGCGTGTTACAAGAAAACATTAAAGAAGAAAACATTAAACAAGATTGCCTATGGGGGCAATTCCAAATGCATTGACATACGTAATGGCAAAAGTTGCAATATTTTGAACAGTTGTGGTATAATTAAACTAGAAACCTTATATAGTTGAGGTCTTATTCAAGTGACAGTGTCCCGTTCCCCTCTGGGAATGAAAGGGGGTGTGTTGTCAACGTCCCAGACTCTCTGGGGTAGTGTCACTGGGTCTGGCACAGGCAGGCCTAGGGCTTGTAAGAATTTGCGGGCCCTCGGAAGGGTTGGTAACTTTGAAGGTTTTTCCCTCTTTGGTGCACAGTAGTGCTCTTGAGTTAGTCCATCTGTAAGCCAGCGGTTTACAGGGACTGCGTGATGGGTCGCATTGTTTGCCAGGAGTGTGGCTTTACTTAGATCTTGATAGAATGTGAGTGAGTGAGTCTCGAATAGGAATGGGGTTTTCCCCCGCAGTGCCTGAAGTAATCGTTGTTTATCCGCAAATGATCGACAGCAGAGTATAATAGCCATAGGCAGGGAGTTTGACGTTTGTGAGGGTGTTGCGATGGGGTATAGTCCGTCATAAGCGAACTGTTTAATGTGCTTGGTTGAGAGGAGGGCTGCGGTGAGTCGCCTGATGAGGTGAGGTAGTTCTTCTGCTGGTACGGTGTCTTCTACTCCTCTTATCTTGATGTTATTTTGTCTGCTTTTGTCTTCCAGTGCATCAATTCTGGCTGCTATTTGGGAGTGGGAGGTTTGTAGCTGCTTTATAGATTCCCCTTGGGTGGCCATGTTTTGCTTTATGTCAGCCGAGTCCTCCTCAGATACTCGGAGGCGTTCCTTGATAGCTTGCATCTCTGCTTTAACCAGGTTGAGTTCTGCAAAGAACATGTCCTGGAAGTGTGCCAGGAGATCATGGATATCCCGTTTTGTTACAGGTGGTTCCATTTCAGGCATAGCCTGTGCTCCAATCCCAGGTACCTTATCCACCACTGGGTCAGTTGTAGTCTCCCGCCGAGAGGATGAAGGCTCCCGCGTGCGGGGCGTCGAGGCCAGCATCTGGCCGATGTCGTGATTTAACCCCTTAAGGACACATGACATGTGTGACATGTCATGATTCCCTTTTATTCCAGAAGTTTGGTCCTTAAGGGGTTAAGGCAGCCGTGGCCGGAGCCGGTTTTTGTGATTTGCGGCCCATCGAGGGTTCTGGTATGCCCCAAGGTATGTCGGCTGCTTGTGGGTCTGTGTCCCAGTAGTCTCTGTCCCAGGAGGTAATGCGTGGTTGCCGCGGGAGTCCCGCCTGGTAGACCCGAGGCCCTTTGCGACGGGTTTTCGTGACCGATGGGCATAAAAAAGGCATCCACAGGTCCGGTATGCGGACCCCAGTGCAAGGATCGCTATTACGGCTCTGGATGTTTGGCGTTATGCCGATTATGGGTGATTTCTTGGGCGATGATCGAGGAGCTGGGTGAAATGGCGTCTGCTCCTGAACGCCGTTGGCTAGCCTCCGCCCCCCTCGTGTATGTTCTATTTTAGGTTATTTTGTTTTGTGCATATTTATAGAAAATATAGTTGATATCCCATCAATACTACTTACATTATCTGTTTCTTTTTTTTTTTCTAATATATTTTTTTTTTTTTTAATTCTTTATTTTTGCAGTGCAAAACAAAATAAATCATAATAGCAGCCGTGTGGTGCCCCAATAGCATTCCTCACGCTGAATATCAAAATTTTTAACAACGGGGTTTTCATAAATCTTTGCACATTTTTTTTTTTGTTATTTAGTCGAGATTGTCCACGTTTAATTTCACACTGAGTGTTCAGTTAAAATGTAGTCCTGAGTAGGTCTTATGAAATCTTGGCGGCACAGTGCATTCCAAGCCTTGTAGAGCTTTCGGTCTAGTCACTGGCTTCTCTAGCTGCTCTAGGACAGTTGAAAAAATTTAACATTGCTGACTGTAGTACTTCAAGTTATGCATTTAAATCTAAACTAGACAACAAGTTGCGTGAAACACTTCTAGTTTGGCATACGTTTAAGAGTAGACAGTTGTAAAGATAGTTACACTAGTTATTAGATGCAAGGTATAATGAGAGTTACGGTTATACATTTTTGCGTTAAAGTTAGTCATGTCAGCAGGTTCGTCCTATGATTATGAGTATTGACCCCCCTCTGATCCTTGTTTGAGTGCATGTGGGTTTGTGTTGAGGTTAGGTGTATAGGGACGTGGAGTGTGCCCATGTTAGGTCTGCAGTGTTTGGTAGTGAGACTTTAGAGTTGCATGTGGTTCGTTGTATGAGGCTACAGCCCTGGCTTCCGTGCAGCTGTACCAGTAATGAGTCTCTCACCCCACACCCTGTGGGCTCATGTTTGTCTCCCCGTGCATGGGGTTGTGCTCCATCATCTGTGGGTCGGTGGTGCTGGGGTGTACAGGTCCATGGTGGGAAATCGTTCTGGTCGGCGGGCGATACTTAGACTCCTGTGGGTGAGTCTGTGGTCGATGCGTTCGCGGGTCGTTGCGTTGCCGGTGTGGATGGGCAGCCCTTGCCGCCCGTTTCGATCTCTTGGTGCGTCGCTTTCGTATTTTGGCTCTGTGGGTTGCGCCGTACCAGGGTCCTTGCTGGTTCTTAGCGCTAGGGTGAGGTGAGTTTTGGCTCTTTACTGCGGGTGCTCCTTTGGCTTTGGATGCTTGTTGTTGGTGGCTCTCGGTCTTAGTGTGGCACCAGGTCCCTGCTATCGGAGTAGGCCGTCTCATGTGCCTACTTGGCTTGGAGACGGAGTGCTCCGGCTCCGTGGACCATGTGAGGGCCTCTAGCTTCTCCCAGAAGGAGTTGAATATGCTGTTCAATCGCAGTTCAGTTACCCTCCAGGCTGTGCTTAGGGCTGCGTTGTAGGAGCCATCCGCCATTTTGGGTATTGCACATTTGCTCTCCAGACTAGGTGAGCATGTTGCTTGGGCATCGCTTGGTGTGAGGATCTTGTGGGGGTGGCCCGGGATGACCCCCACCGGTCCAGAGGGGGGGGAACGTGGACTTCGAAGTGAGGTGTCGCCTGTGCCCGGCGGCGGGAGAGCGGCCGTCTCTCTCGCGCCCGCCATGCTGGTAGGCCCCTCCAGGGTGATCGGTTCATACCGGAGCTGGTGTCGATTGGCGGGTATCATAGTGTGCGCCCCAGTTTCCCCTTTCGCCAGGAGGCCTTTTGTCATTAATTTGACGCCTCGTTGGTGACTTTTTCTCGTTTTTATTGCCTCGGTGTGCAGGAGCCGCCGAGGTGAGCGTCTTCTCAGCTCAGCGGTTAGGCCACGCCCCCTCTAATATATTTTTATTGAAAGTTTTCTTTTTTTTCTCCAAATTTACAGACAAAAGTCAAATTACACATACATACACAGCATATATTCGATAAATAGAAAAAAGACAACCATATAAAAGATCTATATTCAAATTCAATCGGATATATAGAAAATATAAAAGAAATAAAGAAAAAACAGAAAAGTAACCCTTCACCTATAATTATTGCAGGAGAATATCCATATGAAAATGTCACAAGTCATTGTAATCCCCGACTTATAAACAAATATCCATTAGACGCCCACTCCTTTAACGTCATGACCCTAAAGTATTATCCTCTTTTGCGGGCAAAGAGTATAATATAATATATAGAGAAAATTAAGCCCAAATAATTTATTTCCCTGTCTGTCCAGATAAATT